ATTCCTAATTCCACTAGCAGATTCATTCACTGGTAGAAAAATGTCATGTTATAAATGAAGAAAATTATTTTGATCAATATTGAAGAATATTGACTTTTAAAAAGCTCCTATTTCTTGATGAAACGTTACCTATAAGCCAGTTTGGGTTGATTTCTGCTCTCTGATATTTGCATCAGAATAAAACTTGGTAAGGTTTTGTGTTTTTGCAGTGCGTTCTGCTGCCTTGTACCAAGCAGGCTTTGGGTTCTTGGGGTCAAATATTTAAATAATTTTGGTCAGAGGTCTTCAACATGGGGGTCGTGAGCCAGACGGGGGACACAGATACTGCAGGGGGGTCAGGATATTTCTGACTTATCAAATATTTCTGTATATTTTTTATGTAAAGTTAAAAAACATCCAACATGTAAAGACTGATGAAATGATGCATAAAATAAAGTGTTTCAGTCAGAAATGAACACACTCAGTGAACAGAAGTTTGTTCATTTTGGTAAAATTCAGCATTTTATGCAAAATATCACAAATTAAACCATCATTAACTTTGATTTTCAAGTTTGTTTTATTTATGTTAATTTGGCTGAAAAACGATGATTGGTCCAAATGATTCATATAAATCTGAGTTTTCAGGAACATTTAACAATGATAATAATGTATTTATTTGTCCATTAAAGCAGATATTAAACGTCTCGGTTCGGTTTGTGACGTTTGGGGAAGTAAAGTTCCTCCAGAACGTTCTCGGGTCGCAGCGGCCCGTTTCTCTCCGGTCGGTTTAGAGAAGCTACAGATTTCTACAGAATTAAAATCTGCTGACTCCTGGTTTGATAAAAGTTGGTTTCCTCCGGTCGGGTCGCTCCGACTCGCTGCTGCTGATCGCTTCCTGTTTTCTCAGATTAAACCGTCCGACAGATTAAAGCTTCAGGTTTTAAATTTCAGATTGATAAACAAACAGAGAGAAAACGGGTTGAAAGGGAAACTCAACCAGTTCATTCATGAACTCATTTCACAGGAACATGGAAATAAAACCTGAACAAAAACACGAACTGATTGTACGCTTGTTATTTATCAGACTGACAACAAAAAATTAAAAGTTTATCAGAAACTAAGTACACCCCTCTGGTAAACAGCCTGAAGCTGTAACTCTCGGTGAAAGTCCTGTTAGTGAACTTAGTGGTGGCAGCATCATGCTGATGGAGCTAAGTCCTGGAGGAAAATCTGCGGAAGAGCTGAGACCGGGGTCAAAGTTCAGCTTCCAGCCTGAACATCCAACAAGAGACATTATGGTTTAGATCAGAGCACATTCATGGGTTAGAACGGCCTAGTCAAAGTCCAGTTAACTGATGTTCTCAGATGTTTATCAAAGAAAAAAATAGAAAATTTTTGGACACATTATTCAGGGGTTGTTTTTTTTTACAAAATGTGTAATTTTAATGTCGTTTATCAGTTTCATATTTCATAATCAGCTTTTTCATAAATACAGTGACTCAGTTTGTGTTTCATAAACACTTTAAGGACTGTGAACAAGATTCCTAATAAACCTGTTAAAGTTTACAAATGTTTACTTCGGAAAAAATAGAAAAACTTTGAGTTTTAAAACACATGCAAGAAGCGCAGACTGCTGCAAATACATTTCCCCACCACCAGAGGGCGGTGTTGGCACGTAAAACAAACTGAATCCGTCATAAAAATAAATAAAAATAACTGTTTTCACCTTCTTAGTTTAGTTTTTAGTGAATCAGGAGAAGAACTGATCATACCAGACAGAAGAGAATAAAAAAGGTTCAAGATTTAAATAAAAACAGGGAAAAATAACTGGAACCAGAAGTTCCGTGTTCCTGCAGTTCCTGTTGTTCACCAGCAGAGGTCACTGATGTCCCCAATCGCCACACGTGGGGCAGGAGGTGAGAGAGTCTGTCCAGCTGTGTGCCGGCTTCTGATTGGACAGATGGTCCAACGATAAAAGTCGGGAGACAAGGTCAAACAGAGACATCACACCTTGTCGGCTGCGTGGCTGTGCGGTGTTTTGACCCACGCAGATCCACGCAGCTCCCAGGTCTGATTTGTTTTCACCAAAACAGATAAAAATGATTTATTTAAAGTTTCAGTGTGAAGGGTGTAGCTGAGAGTTCTCTCTTTTTCTCTCTCGCTCTGTGTGTGTGTGTGTGTGTGTGTGTGTGTGTGTGTGTGTGTGTGTTCTCTTGCTGCAGCGCTGCATCACCTCAGGAAATATGTGCGTTAATATGCAGCAGAGATCCGGATTGTTTCAGATTCTGCTGACGTCAGCAGGAGGAGGAGAGACCCCCTCGTTGTGTGTGTGACTCAAACACACACACACCCACACACACACACTCTCTCTCTCTCGCTCAGACCCTGAGAGATCCTCGGTCATTCATTATTTCCAGTTTTTCTCTCCTCTCAGGTTTTCTGAGGTTTCGCTTCACATCCGGTTTAAATTTAATCCAATGAACTGAAATGAGAGGAAAAGATCTTCACGGTCCAAATGGAAACTTTATTCCAGATCAAACAGCTTCATTACATACATGACGGCCTGCTTACATACATGACGGCCTGCTAGGAGGATAACGTAAAGAAAAGAGAGCTTGTAGTACCACTAGCTACCGGTGGGGCGCTGTTTCACTAGATGAGCTCATGGATCGTTTTTCAGGTTTGAACAAAGAGCCTGTTTTCCTCACTCCTTAATAAATATCAGATTTCCATCTGTCCTTCCAGGTGTTTAATTACAGCAGCTAATTCTCTGTTTTTACACTTTATTATTATTAATTTAGTAACTTTTATGTCACGTTTCACATCCAGCGGTCAGGGCCGGCCCAACGTTGTTTGGGGCCCCGAGCAGAATGTGACAAGGGCCCCCTGTTAATTAAGAACATCAGCACTAACAGCGTTTCAGCAAGTTTAATTGCCACTGTCTTAGTTAAAGAAAGGGGCAATTAAATAACAAACAATAATTGTTATTTTCTGAGACGTATTTATGAACAAAACAAGTTCAAACACAAAGATTAAACTTATTAGGTTGTAGCTATGCTAACACAACAATCAAAAAATATTAAGATTATTCTTTGGATTTTCACAAGTAAGCTTTTAAATATTAAAAAAAAATTTTCTAATGTATCTTTGTTGAAACCATTGAATAAATTTGAACAGTCTCAGTATAAATCAAATACCAAAACGTTTACTTTGTGTTTTCACAGTTTATTCAATATTATTTTGTTACTCTTGGTTTTATAAAATTCCTTTTGCAAAACAATTTAATGCAACTAATGACTGTGAAGTTATGAGTTATGGATGCTGTGAAAACTGAAGTTTGATTCCTTGTTTATTTACAATATTCATCAATAAATCTGATTCCGAACAATAGATTATTTTTATCCGCTTTTTGAAATTCAAACAGAAAAAATGTCTCTAAAGTTTGAGTGTTTTTTTATTAATTGTGGCCAAAAATGACATGAAATTCAAACAATCTGATTCCCACTGATGAGCCTAAATATGTGGTTTCAAACTATTATTTATATAAGAAATGATTCTTATGTACAAACACTGTTTATTTAAATAATAAAAAAATAATCCTTCTGCTGCAGTTTACACATTTTAGTTAATTTTATTAAATGCACTTATGGTTCCATATTAATTACCAAAGTTCAATTCAATTGTTTCTAGAACTTGAATAATAATTTGACTTGTAAAAGCTGAATCATAAATTAGTCTGAAACCTAAAAACTGTGTTTAGAATCTATGTAACGGTTACATGTGTCAAACTGAAGGCCTGTGGGCCAAATCTGGCCCATCATAATGTGTTTATGTGGCCCTGGAGGCTCTAGAGGGCCACATAAACAGAACCTCAAGGCAACAGTTGTGTGCATAAATATTATTCACTCAAATTAAATCAGTTTTATTTATTTAAAGTGCCAAATTATAATGTGGAAAGATGTTAAATATTTAATGTTAGAGCTTGTTGAATGCAGAAAAAGCTGCAGCACTTAACAGTTTGATAATAGATAGTTTATCAATACATTTTGCAACATCCGGCCCTTTAAGGACATGCATGATGCTGATGTCCCCAAAACGGAAATTAGTTTTTCTAACCTGAACTAAACAAGAGTTTTTGCTCCTCCTGGAGAAACTTACATAAAAGTTTAATATAAGTTTCTCCAAGAAAAAATGACAAACAGCTGAATTTTCCTTCATTGAAATGGAGGGGAGTGTAGCAACCTTTCTTCAGCCAGCTGACTGGCAGTGCTGTGTGACTCTGACCCAGAGAAACTCCAGGTTTCTCTCTGCATCTATCAGAAAGATTTTAAACCAGAGAAAAAGCAGGAAAACCATCAGATGAGAAGGTGAAACATTTAAACCTTCAGCCGACCGAAGATCAGCGAGGAAAAAGTTCACTAAAAATAAATCGAGTTAGATTCAGGGAAAAACGTCAAACTAGAAAATATCCAGCTGGAAGAAACCAGAACCAGAATCAGAACCAGAACCAGAATCAGAACCAGAACCAGAACCAGAATCAGAACCAGAACCAGAATCAGAACCAGAACCAGAATCAGAACCAGAACCAGAACCAGAACCTGAATCAGAACCAGAACTTGAACCTGAATCAGAATCAGAATTAGAACCAGAACCAGAACCAGAACCAGAACCAGTCGTTGGATGAGTGAAAATTAAAATATTTGAATCATTTTAATTATAAAAGCAACAGATCTGATTTACAATTAAATGTATTTACAGTTTCAAATTTAAATGAATGAGGCCTTTAAGTTTTTAGAATGTTGGTTGTTTGTCATAAATTAAGACATTTTTGTTATTTTTGTTTGTGACTCATATGGTGTTTATTTCAATCAGAACATTTTAGTCATCAGTTCCTCTTAAAATAAACCAATAAAAGGGAAACGATCCTAAAATATGAGGAATGATGCTGATGGAAGGAGGGATGATCCGGGGAGGGATGGAGGGATGGAGGGATGGAGGGATGGAGGGAGGAGCTTTCTCTCCGTCTTTTCTTTTCTCACTCGGGACGCGTAAAGCGGAGTGCGAGCTGGAGCGGAGCGGAGCAGCACCAACCCGCAGACTTCTGCAGAGGAGGGACCATCCAGCGGGAGGAAGAGGAGGAAGAGGAGGAAGAGGAGGAAGAGGAGCTCCGCCGCGGTGGATGTAGCTGTTTGCGCCTGTTTTGTTTTTTTTTTTTGTTGCGTTTTTTGCGGGGAATGTGCGGCTCCTCCTCTGCGGCTCTCCAACTTTGTGAATCTGTGCTCTCATGGTGAGAGGCGGACGCAGAGGATGGGAGTAACCTGGTCCTCCAAATGCCTCACACTCCTGCTGGCTCTTCACATCGGTGAGCGGGAAACTTTACGTTTCTTCTCATTTTAATCATTTCACATTTTTTCTCTTTAAATCTCATTTCCTGTCTCATTTTGCACGTTTTTCCTGCGCGCTCAGGGAAACTCTTTAATCTGGTTTCATTTCCCTCCAGACCTGATTTTATTTGGATATTTTTTGGTGAATTTATTAAAAATAAAATATTGGCGTTTTGTTTCCTCCAGTTTGGCTTCAGCTGAAGCAGCGGAGCCATGTGAGGCTCTGACGGGGCTTCACTTCACATTTAGAGTGTGTGCATGTGTGTGTGTGCATGTGTGTGTGTGCATGTGTGTGCGTTAACAAGGGGGATGCCCCCCTCCATACCTCCTCCTCCTCCTTACTCCGTCCTTCCTCCTCCTCCTCTTCCTCTGGTTGTCCCAGGCTGGAGACGTTTTGCTGCTGAATTCTTCATAAAATCGTTGAAAATGTGAAAATAAAAACTTCTTCGATCTGGATAGAAGTCATTGTTTTTTACATTTATCGAAAATGTATTTTAGTTCGTTAGATGAAGTGGTGGTAAATAACAGGTAGAACTCCAGATATTAGACGGTGGATTCCAGGTTGTAGTCGGTGTTCAGAGCCATCCCGCCGCAGTGCGACTGTCCGGAAATAAGAACACTAGAAAAAACATTATTTTGAATCTAAATTTAAAACATAAAACAGAAATAAAAACATGTAAATTTATCTCCGTAATTTCCCTCAGAGCGCGCGCACAGACGTTGGTGCACGCGCTCTGCTCGTGCACGATTTCACACCTTCTTCTGTTTGTAATAATAATAACAATAATAATAATAATAATAATAATAATAGTAGCATCTAGTGCTCTGTGACTGAGCGGGCCATGCTGGGCCTGCCGGCTCGGTTCGGCTGCAGAACCGAACCGGGTCCCCGCAGGCTGCGGCTGAACGCCTCAGACCTCCGGACGCTTCATTGGAGCTGATTGCTGCTTTTGCTGTTGCATAACGGCGCTGTGGAGGAGGCTCCTGCGCGCGTCCGTGAGTCCGTGCGTGACTGGAAGAGAAAACCTGAATTATTCAGTCCATGAATCCGTCTCCTTTTGTTCAGATTCAGGAGGGAAAGAATCAGAAATGAGAGTCAGTTTAACCCGCCTGGACCGATTTATTGTTGTATTCCGGTGAAATCTGAGCGAAGCTGCGGGAGGATTTGCGGGATATGTGCAGAGGGATCGAATAAAATCGACCGAGTGGCCTTGATTTAACAAGCCCGTTAGAAATCAGCTTTGATCGGGACTGATCCGGTTCTCTGAGTCCGGATCCCCGCAGCGTGGTTCGGTTCCGATTCGGCTGCAGCACAAACCTTTAAAAATACACGAAAACAGATGAAAATCCCGTTTTAGATCGAAAAACGGTTAAAACCCGCAGGCTTTATGTTGATTTAATGACTTTATGAGTTCAAAGGAAAAGAAAAAGAAAAGAAAATCCAAGTAGAAAATAAAACCGAGTTTAAACAAAATTATGATCAAAATATGCAAATATCTGGATGTTTATCATGCAGGAAAAATATCGCTGTGCATTAATGGTGGGTGTGTCCGCGGAATAACATGCTGCTTGACAAGTGTGTGTGTGTGTGTGTGTGTGTGTGTGTGTGTGTGTGTGTGTGTGTGTGTGTGTGTGTGTGTGTGGAGGTGGGGTGAATGAGTGCTCGATGGGAGGCGTGAACGAAAATAAAATCAAAACGAATAAATAAAGCCCGTGCGCGCCCCCGTGGTGCGCGGGACCGTCCTGGTTTCACTGGACGGAAATAAAAACTGGGAATGTTGGAAAAATTCCCGGTTTGATCTGGAAGCAGGTGGGAGTGAGAGCAGGATGAGATGCTGCCTTAAAACACGCAGAACGAAAACAAGAAGAAGTGAAAATGTGAAATATGATCAGATTAATGAAGTATGTTTTTACAGATTCATTAAATATTAAAGTTATGAGGAAAAGTCAATAAATTAACCCTTTATTATTATTAAGCAGTTAATAGACTGAGCTGCAGCTGCTGCAGCTCTAACGAGTCGCTGCTGCAGCTGCAGGATTCCTGCGGCTGCAGCGACAGATGATGATGTAATGCCTCCAACACTGAGACACTTTCACTCATTCATCCGCGTTAATGTCTAATAAAATGACGTCACAGGCATGAGAAAAATACTTAAAACTCTGATTTATTTAGGATTTAAACATTTATTTTAAGGCATGTTTATTCTAAAACTTATTCTAGAAATGAGCTAAAATTATAATTTTTTAAAACTAAAATGTGACTCATTAAGAATCTTAGCAGCAAACTAACATTAAACTCCTTTATGCTGTTAAAACATCATTTCTTCACTCAAAAGCCTCTAAATTCACATTTATTAATGATTTTATTTATATTTAATAATCCCAAATTCTCAGTTTAATTATTAGCAGAAAATTATTTACATTTATTTAAATTTTTCTACAATTTTATTTTAACTCGTCTAAAATGAAAAACTTCACTCAGAAATAAAAGAAAATAAAAAATAATCATGTTTTCAAACAGATCGAAATTTCTCTATTTAATTTGTTTCATTTCACTGTAAAAATGAATCAGCTGAGCCTCGTTTTAATTATCTGCACTAAAAACACTTTGATTTAAACAAATTAATTAAATGAGAAAAGTTCCTTATTTTGGCCAATTGTTCATAAAAACAAAAATCTGTAATGTGTCACTAATATGGTTAAAAATATACATTTTAAATAATTACAA